AGTGAATATAAATAGTATTTCTTAGAGAACATCTCAGATGGTTCCTAGTAGTTTTTGCACACATTGTATTCTTTATATTTTGCTTATATTGCTGACTAGCCAAAAGATTTTAAAACCTGGAGTATTGTTCAGTTACCACAGAAATCTAGGAAAGGTAGAACACATCAGCATGACACATCCAGACTACTAAATCAAGACAGTCTAGAGATATTGACACAAATTATGTCTAGAAACATGGACAAATGTCTGCTGCACTGCAATTTTCTCTTCAACTTTTCTAAGAAAGTCACCCTATTGACACATGACTATCTCCCAAAACTTGTTGCTTGAATTCATAATATTTAGAGGTGAGAAAATTTAAACAGCAGTCTCAAGAGATAAGAGCCAGAGTCATCCTTGCTGTTCTGTCTGTTTCAGACAAACAATATTTAAGATTTAGAAATGGCCTCTGAAATAACTTACTTGCTGCTTATATTATTTTCAGATTTAGCTGTCACCTTCATTTATTTCGTAGTCCATTGGTGACTTCACAAAATTACCAAAAATATTCCTGCTTTGATTTAAGTGATGAAGGAGCAGCAATCAAACCCTCTTTCAATTTGTCAAGCCTCAGACTTTACAGAGCATCCACAAGTTAATTCTCTCCATGTCTGTAGGCAATATACAGAGGACTTTGTTTCACCTTGTCTTAAGAAAAAATTAGTTATAATTCAGCTAATGGAAGTCTTTTCTTTAGCATTTTATTAACAATGCCACAAATATGCACAGTTAGGATACTAATACTTTTGCACAGAGAAGTATGTTATTCAGTACATACCTGATATAGCATATATAATTGCATCTTTAAGTATTTTCTTGTATTACCTATTTGATAGCAGTCAACACTGACATGTTATGGAATCTTTCAATATATTATGTAAGGTAATTCAAGGCTATATTTTTCACCACTACATCATTTATACTACCAGACATTTCTGTAGAAGAATTAGGGTATGTCTACACTAGCCCCCTAGTTCAAACTAGGGAGGCTAATATAAGTATTCGAAGTTGCAAATGAAGCCTGGGATATTTAAATTCAAACTATCTACTCTGTGCCACGTGTAGCTGCAGGCACAGAGTTTGGACTAAGGGGGATTTAAAAATGGCGGCGCCCGGGAAGATGCAAATGAAGCCGGGGATATTTAAATCCCAGGCTTCATTTGCAACTTCGAATGCCTACATTAGCCTCCCTAGTTCGAACTAGGGGGCTAGTGTAGATATACCCTTATAGACTTAAACTTGATCTCTTCACCTTAACTAGTAATATTATAATAATATTTCATATTGCTATTAGCACAATATGTAGGGGGGTGAGGTTACTGAATTCTATCCAAAAAGAGACATTTTGAATTGACCCCATGTCTCTGTTTTGGTGCCCTATACGCTACATTATACTGCCTTCATTATAAACCATTATACTTTATGTAAATATAGGAATAATTGAAAAAAATAAATGCTTTGCTAAGCTGTTATATGGCCAATAATTTTAGGATGATAGTCTAATTTCAAAAGCAGAGTGGCTAAAGTTTCTTGCATGCCCATTTTCATAGGATTACTCACATTTTAATGGTGAATCAGTTCTATCGTGATCTTGTTTAGGTAGGGAATTACATCCCCATAACAGCAAATGTATTAAACAGGAACAGCCTGATTGGAAAGATTCAGCTAGAGCAGAGTTGTGAAACTTTTTGTAATTTGAATCATGCCTTAATGCAGAGAATGGATTTTGGACTTTCCTTCCTTTCATTCGTTATCATTTGGACCACCTTCCCTCTCACTGGAATTTTTTTTAAATATATCTCTATGGAAACTACAGCAGTCATTTTGTGGAAAGATACTAGGGAAGGGAAGATAGTAAATTTTCATTTTTTTGTCTGGTTACTTTCTGCTTTGGGGACACTATTAGACTTATTCCTATGCACAGTAGTATATTTTTAGCATATTGCCAAAGTGCTTTCAGCCTTGATAGATTCACTTTTTCATTCTCAACAAATTATTTCAATAAACTTTTACTTAAAAAGCGTCCCTTGAATAGTAGTATCCCAAAGCTACAGGTAATGCTGAACACAGCAGTTCTGCTCTTGAATAGGGATCACTGTAATACATCATAAATTTCCAGCATAGTTCCCTGACAGTGGATGCCTGTTTACTTACTGATAGAGTTTAAAGCAGTGGTCACCAAACAGTAGATCTTGGAGCTTCTGATAGGTGATCCTGACTGGTTTGGCCAAGAGGCTATCAAGACCAGCACTTCAGCCTACCCCACCCCAGCCCACTGCACATCTCCTGCCCTATGCCTTAGAGCTTCCTCCCTCCCACCCCCAGGAGCCTCCTGCTTTCTGTACAGGGCAGGGGACGGAGAGGAGGGGTCACTGATGTCAAGGTGCCCCCTCTCCCATCCTGTATCCTATCTCCACAGAACAGAGAGGGGGCACCACAGGGATTGGGATGGAGTTTGCTGGCTGCTTTTGGGAGTGGTGGAGGGCCAGGGCAAGGGTGAACCTGCCTTAGCCCCACTGCACCACCACCAAGCAGCCATCTGAGGTAAGCAGTGCCCAGCTGGTGTTCAAATCCTGAAATTCGATACCTGTGATGAACTCCTTTCTGCAGCCCCAAACCCCTGTGTTAGTCCCAAGCACCCCTGCATCCAAATACCCTCCCAGAGCCTGTACCTAGGACCCCCTTGACACCCCAACTGCTTGCCCCAGCCTGGTGAAGGAGGGTGGAAGAGGGAGGGAGGATGGAGTGAGCAGGGGCAGAGCCTCAGAGAAGGGACACAAAGGAGGCAGAGCAAGGGTATTTGAGTTTGAGGTAGATCTTGGATTGCACTTAAATTCAAAAAGTGATCTCATGCTTTAAAAAGTTGGAGACCCCTGGTTTAAAGTGATGACTATGATTCTGAAGGTCTTACATAGTGAGGATCCAGTTAAATGAGAAATTGTCTTTCCCCCAGCTTCTCATCATAACAATATGTACCTATCTTCTTACTTTCTGAAGACTTATGTCAAGGTATACTAAAGCAAATAGATTCTGGAATCTCCTTATTGTGAAGATATCCCAGAAGATACTGTATTCTAGGAAATTAAGGAATAAGTAAATACTTCTCTTGAGACAGTGGTTGAATATTTAGTAAGTTTTGTATTGGCTATTAACTAGTGTCCAGCTAAGTGCTGAGATAAATTATATTATGTATAAACACTGGACATGAACAAACAGTACTATGATGAAAGCCAACTCATCTCTTCCTTTGTTTTGAATTCCTTATCCTTATGCTCACCTGCCACATTGATGGCAACAGAATGAGACAAGACCACTTTGTTAATTCTCCTTGACCCAGGATGAGAGGGTTGGAGACAGATTCCAGAAACCCTTTACTTTTCAGTACCTTTCTTTAGAGGTTATTGGGTTCTCTTTTCGTTCAGAATGTTTACATGAAAATGTTCATATAAAGGTAATTTTTAATAAGAAAATTAATTATAAACAGAGAGAACAAAAGAAGCTGTTTGCTTAACAGAGCTAGGTATACCATTTGGCATGCTAAATGAGATAAGACAGAGAAAGAGAAGAAAAATGAATAGCTTGTACCCCTGAAGGCAATCCTTTCTCTTTCTCTTTTGGTCTAATTGTGAGCCTCATGCTATCCCAATAGAAAAACCACCTTGTTCTGCCCAAAGAAATTTCTTTTCAGGCCCTCCTTGACCTATGACTGCTAATTAGTTTTCACAAGTCTCAGAGGGGTAACTGTGACATTTTAAAGACTGGAGTCCTGTGGCATCTTAAAGACTAACAGATTTGGCCATAAGCTTTTGTCGGTGCATGCACATGTTTTTTACCCAATGCATCTGAAATCTTGATACACCTGCATCTGATATAGTGGTTTTTACGCACAAAAGCCTATGCCCAAATAAATCTGTTAGGGTTTGTCTACACTTGCAGCATAATTCGAACTAGGGCTGCAAATGCAGGCTTTTGGAATTGCAAATCAAGCCCGGGATTTAAATATCCTGTGCTTGATTTGCATCTTCTCGGACGGGCACCATTTTTTTTGGGGTGGGGGTGGGAATTTACAAGCCTGAAGTAACTGCCCGCTTCTACACGCAGCAGTGAAACAGGCATTCAAAATAAAGCACTATTTTGAACTACCTGTTGAACCTCATTGCAGGAGGAATCACAGATAGTTCAAACTAGGGCTTTATTTCGAACGCCCGTTTCACTGCCGTGTGTAGACGCGGGCAGTTACTTCGGGCTTGTAAATTTAAAAAATGGCACCTGGCCAGGAAGATGCAAATCAAGTGTGGGATATTTAAATCCTGGGCTTGATTTGCAATTCTGAAAGCCTACATTTGCGGCCCTAATTTGAATTAGGCTGCAAGTGTGGACATACCATTGGTCTTTAAGGTGCCTCAAGATTCCTCATTGTTTCTGTGGTTTTCAGAAGTTACCTATAAACACACTAGGATTTTTGGGACTGGCAACATTCTCTAGGATATGGGCCACTGAGGAAACATATGCTATGTCTACTCTACAAGCATCATAGAAGCACCACTGCAGTTATGCCTCTGAAAGTCCATAGTGAGGATGACTAAAAGACTAAAGGGATTTTTCTTTCACTTTTCCTCCACTATCTGAATTCTTCTGTGGATCTAGAATTGTCTATACCAGGGGCTAGGTCTAGTTAACTAGATTGCTTAGACTTGATGCCAATTTTCTACACCTGAGTGATGTCAAGTTGTTTGTTAAATGTAGACCAGGCCAAAGGCCCTTTAACAACAATTAAGATTTAATGACCTAGGTCAAATACCATCCAAACAATCATGAATAGTTCAATATGATCAGGCCTATTGTTAAAACTGGATTTTTTTTCTTTTCCCAAGAAATATGAATTATGGACAGGTCTCCAAACCCTCTGCCAAACATACATTAAAAATAGAACATTAAAGTGGTAATTACAGTACAGTTACCTGTCATGTTGCAGTAAACTTTCAAAGGTCCCAGTGCCCCACTGCCATCTGGATCTATCCAATAATAATTTGAGGTTTTTCCCAAGTGCTTGTATGCTTCACAGGAAAGGTCATAAATAGCTGGAATGGAATAAAATAAAATAATAAGAAAATTGAAGTCCAGAGCAAATAATTCCCAATCACAATAGCTTTTGTCATAGCTTCATTTTATAACTCACACTAGTGGAATATTGATTTATCATCGAAGGCCTGATTTAATACTGGAAAATTAATAGAAGGGACAATACTTTTTCTAAGTTACTAGAGCTAGTCAGAAAAACTATAATGGAAGCACATTTTATTTTGGAAGAAAATAAACGTCAAATGTCTCTTTCATAGTTTCATACATCTGATTTTTCATTTGGAAGCTATTTTTCATTTCATTTAAAATATTGTACACTATAATATTATGTAAATGAAAGAAAGACGAAATAGGTTATTCAAAATATTTTGTTCCAATCTTTTTATTTTGTCTCACAGAAAATATTTAAATTTTCAGGTTTCATTCTTATTTGGAACAAAGACAAATTTTAAAATCTTTAAATCCTCTATGAAAAAAAATTTTCATCCTCAATTCTGCTGGTTCCTTTTGTCACTTATTACAGGTAATTTAACATTATCACAATGTTTTCTAAGGATTCTCAATAGCAATTTTACGAAACACTATGAATTCTTAGGCTAATTATTTATTTTTCTAAGGTCAAATAGGTTTTTTTAGAATTGATCACTTTTGTATGGTCAGTATTAAAAATTGAGAGTTGCCATCACTTGTCAGACTGTGGTATTTGCAGTACTCCAGATACATTGTTTCTATTAAATAATTAAACACATAAATAATCTACAAAATTAGTACGCAAATCGGGAAACAATAATGAACAATAATACCTAACTAAAACCTAACTTCTATCTTTTCCAGAGGACCAGATGGCATAGCTTTGTGGGTTGGAATCAATCAATCAATTCCCAACTGAATTAAATGTTTATTTACCCAGATTTCATATCCTCTGTAAAAAAACCACCTAATATGCAATTCCTACAAATTATCTCCTTGGTATGAATGGCTTTATTTCAAATATCCATAAGGACAGTCCATTCTGCTGAGCTCTGGATGATTGGTGAATAATGGATCTCCCTTTCTGAAAGGCCTCAAGCCAACTACTATATAAGAAAAAGGAAAATGGAGGTTGGAAACATTAATCTAATGTAAAACAGATAAAGTCAAATTTCAAGTGTCTGTGCTCATGCACTTCTGTGAGAGAGAAAACCTCTCTGACCTCCCAACATTGTAGAGGGACAGAAAACTATATTTCAGGATAAATTTAATGACTAGTTTAGAGATGCTTTAATTTTATAAATTAAGCTTATATAAAAAGCAGACACTTATAATTGACTTATAAAATGTTTCAATAGCCATTTCCCTTCTCCCCACTTCCACACTAATGATGACAGACTTTCTCTTTTCCCGGTGGTACACCTGTTTCCAGACAAGATTCCGAAATCATTTATTTTATTTTATGAAAAGATCTGTGAAGTTCAATGTATATAGCCTGGAAAGAATTATATTTCAGTCAACAGAAGATTCACAGTGAAGAGTTTCAATGGAGAATGTCACACCATATCAGAGCCACAGTATCTTTAACAAATTAACAGTTCCATAGAAGGAGCTATCCATCACAAATGAGTTCATCCTTTGACTGCTGAAGAATGAACAAGGTATACACAGACTGTCTCTACTATACTACAATACAACATTATTAATTTCATTTCTACGATTCTAGACCACAAATATCTTTCATTGCTGAAGAAGAAGATAAGCAGAAACTGATGAAGATCTCATAAATTTAAAGTATTTTATATGCAACTCCTATTACCTACATTTTGGGGGTATCCAATACTTTACGGGATACATATGGCATACTTCCACCTCGATTTCTATAGCTTTGTTAGTTATGGAGAAACAGGCTCAACTGTTTTACTTAAGTACTTATTACCTTTAATTGTATCAGCAGTATTGCTACACCAAAGTAATTAGCAATAACAGTGTATGGTACACATTATAGAATCTGCCTTCACATTTTTTTGCATTGCATATATGCATTTTTAATATGTAGAGATGGTGATACAGCAACAAATTGTCTATGATTAACTTATTATATCAGTTATTCTAACCTTCCCAGGGTTCTAAAAGTATACTTTTTGTTATATAAAAAATTAAAGGACCCATATTTGATATGTTTCTTTCCCTCCATTTCATATTCTTTAAGAATAGAAGAGATCATTAAGAAGTGATAGGGACTTATATGGCAGAGCAGATGAAGGTGCATTTCATGTATTGATAGTCCTGAAGAAAAAAACTCTCATTTAGTCACAGAAAGACACACGAGGAAAATGCAGAAGAAAGGGGACAAATTAGCACCAAACCAGGCACCAAATTGAGGGGGAAGAAAGAAATGAAGCCTCGCTGAAGGTGGCATCATCATCAGAATCAGGGTGTTAATAATGACCTGTGAGAGAGGTCATTTTGGCTCTTCTTAATAGGAGTGGAATAAGATATAAAACAGAGAATTCAGAGAAATGAAGGTTCTTGTAATCAAGAAAAGAGAGAAGCCCAACATTTTATCTGACAGGACAAAAAGGAAATGCTGGAGTTTTGAAATGTTGTAGAACAGGAACTGGCAGGATCTGTCAGCACCATAGAACAACAGTGGGCAAGTACCAGCCTGCAGGTCAGTTCCAGTTCACCAGGGTTAGCTCCTCGTGGGCTGCCACCAATATATATTCCTGATCCTTCACAGCTCCAGGTGATTGCAGCTCCCACTGGCTGCAGATCACTGTTCCCAGCCAATGGGAGTTGGGAAAAGTGGTGTGTGCTGCTTCCTGTAGCTCCCATTGGACGGTAATAGTGATCCGTGGCCAGTGGGTGCTGCAAGCACCTATACCTACAGAGGCACAGTAAATACAGTGGTGGCACCCCTGCCGTAGAGGCTTGAGGAAAAGAAAAACAGAGGACAGTTTAGGAGACCTATTTTAATTATGGTTAATTTAAGAATTGGGGCATTAAAAAAAGGCTTTGAAAATGCTAGCAGAACTGCAAGCATGGACATAGGGAGAGAAATAGTTTTGAAGACTCATCACAGCAAGAGACCATGAGAGTAGATTAAATCACACACAGAGGTGAGAGAAGAGTGCAAAAGGGAGAGGACCATGGGCAGAGCCCTGAGAAACACTGAGAGAGAGCAGGAAGGAAGAAAAGATTACAGTGATCAAACAATCAGCTTCAGCAGGTTAGAAAGAACAAAAAAGTACAAAATCTAAAATATCATGGAGCAGTGAGTGACCTACAAAATCAAAGTCAACCAAAAAAAGAAATAGGGAGGTACTTGGAAATGTGATTGAGTGGCGAATTCTTCAGGTAAAGGTAGACAGGCATGTTTTTGAAGCAAGACATCAAGGAACTGGAAGAGAAAAGTTAAAAAATAATAAGAAGGGAAAGAATAAGTGAGGGGAAAAATGAGTTTAGGAGTTGAAAAATGATGGGTTGAAAGGATAATCTGAAAAACATGAGATGTGGTACATCAGGACCGCAATAGCTCTGCTCCTTAAAAAGAAAGACTTAGGGTGCATCTAGACTGGCAAAAACTTGCCAGCTGTCTACACTGGCCGCTTGAATTTGTGCAAAAGCACTGACTTTGTAATGTACAAAATCAGTGCTTCTTGTGCAAATACTTTCACGCTCCTGCTCGGGAAAAAGCCCACTTGCGCAAGAATACTTGCGCAAGAGGGCCAGTGTAGACAGGGAAGAACTGTTTTGTGTAAAAAAGCCCCGATGGCTAAAATGGCAATCGGGGCTTTCTTGTGCAAAATCGTGTCTAGACTGGCCACTGATGCTTTTGCGCAAAAGCACTTTCTGCGCAAAAGCATCCATGCCAATCTAGACGCGCTTTTGAGGAAATACTTTTAACGGCAAAAGCTTTTCCATTAAAAGTATTTCCGCAAAATCATGCCAGTCTAGATGCAGCCACAATGTCTACATCAAGGGTAAAAATAAATATGCGCTGGAGACAGATTTCTCTGTAGCTGACTTATGTTTATAGATGTTTCTCCCATGGTAATTTACATGACAACAAACATTCTTATTATATAGTTCAAGTATTAACCGCTTCTACCTTATTGTCTGGCTAATGTGGCAGTGCATGAAGTGCTTGAAGGTGCATTTCAAATATTGCCAGACAAAATTCTTATTTAGTCACAGAAGAGACTTGGGGCAGAAACAGAAGAAAAGGAAGAAGCTAACTAAGGGTATGTCTAGACTACATGGCTCTGTCGCCAGAGCTATGTAGATTAGTTTACTAGACATACCCAAATGAAGCGACGATTTAAATAATCGCCGCTTCATTTAAATTAAAATGGCTGCCGCACTGTGCGTCTGGACGTTCCGTGGTTGACAGCAAAGGCATTTGTCGACCTCCCCAGTAAACCTCATCCCACGAGGCATACCCTATATGATCAGCCCATATGAAATAAGCTTTCTGTATATTTTTAAGGGAGAGAACATACATACACAACTTTTGCTTCTTAGAGAATTGACAGAGAAAACCACAAATGACCTACTCATTTTTAATTTTAGAAAGAACTCAAACAAAACCAGTCATAAGTGTAATGTGAGAATCTGGACAGTTAAATTACAATAAAGCAGTTTTATTTGTTTGTTTTCAGTTACCTGACCAATAAGAATCAAAGCGAGAACACCAAAGTCATTTCACTTAGTTCACTACAATTCCCACAGGATGTGTTTGACAGAATTAAAGATCTAGAGAAATGGAATTATTTACTGCCTGCATTAGGTTAATTATTGATCTAGTTAAGCAAAGGTAGGCCAAGTGGAGATGAATCATTAAAACAATAACTGATGTAACTTTAATAAAAATAGTACTTATACTAATGGAAATTCATCCAATATGTCCTTAGTTTTGGTTAATTCCATTGCCTTTTCTATGTCACATTCTCTTTCAATATGTCTGTAAGAAAAAAAAACTGTTGTAGTATATTATTTTGTGGATTTTACATGTCTGTTTTCTTAT